GGGGGGGGCTTCGACCTGAAACATCAGGGGTTTGGATTTGCACCCGATCGAAAGAAACCTTGCTATCGCAAGAGTAACTCCAGCTAGCTTCGCTAGCTTTCGTGATATATCTAATCAGAAAGAGAATGCAAACACTAAAGCAAAGAGGTATATAATATGGTTCTTGGTACTATTATATATTCAATTCTGGCATCACGTTCTGGGCGCGGCCTTCCCTATTTAGGCATGGATAAGATACCTGTGTCTTTTCCTCCTCCTCCTCCTCCTCCTCCTCCTCCTGCTCCTCTTCCTCCTCCTCCTGCTTCTTCTTCTTATTATTCTTCTGTTTCTTATTCTTATTCTTCTTCTTCTTCTTCTTCTTCTTCTTCTTCTTCTTTGCGGCCTTCATTATTTAGTATAGATAAGGTACCTGCGTTCTTTCCTTTTTTTGGCAGTCTTCATTATTCAGGCATGGATAAAGGACATGTTTAAACTACAGTAGAATTTCAACAAACTCTGCGGATGTGGAAAACCCGTTTCACGGGTGGCTTTAACAAGGAATCTGTTTGACGAGGATCCTTTAACAAGGATTCTGTTTGATGGGGATCAAGCAAAGTATTTGGTGATATTTGGTGTATGCTTGTTCCTGTCAGGGCGTTAAAACTTTCTCAAATTGCAGATTTCGTGTCCTAAATGTTTGGTGCATGTGCGCTCTCATTCATGCGTGTCTATCAGGCCCCATGCTGCATGCTCACCGTCAAAAGATATCTGGAAGACTCGCTTACGAGGGGTTCTCGAATGCAGTAAAGACCAATAGACATCTACAGGGCAAAAGTGGCTTCTTTCGGTGTGTGTGTGTGTGGGTGTGGTATCTACATGCAATACGGAAGTCTGCGCAAAGCCCTCATTATTGTTCGGCCAAGAAGCAAAAACAATTGCCACGTCCAACCAGTTCCACATCCAGTTCTCATCACAAAGAAACCACCTGAACCGGACAGACGGGTGCAAGAAACAGCAGAAGATGTCCTGCCCTTCCATGAGAACCAGACCAACGGCATCAAGTTGCTTGCAAACAATTGGTGCGACCATCATGTCATCAAGGTCTTGTTAGCGGAGATACTACTAATGCAGACTCTTGATTAATAAACCCTCCCCAGACATGGATTGAAAAGCCTCTTCAGGCCTGGGGGCAGGTCATCAATCAAGGTTCCACTAGGGCATCGATTGTTTTTCATTCATCTGCTCGGAAGCACTCGGACGGCGCGTGTGGCCGGACGGCGTGGAGGTTTCCCAAAACACTGCGCCTCCCGGTGCCAGTGATCCTTAGGAGCAACTCCACCTCAGCCGTCGAGAACTGAGTCGCATCTGGCTTTCTCGACCCGCACCTGTTCTGATTGTGGGTGAGCACAGAACGAACATCCATGCAGATATTCCTTTGAATTCGAACAGGTCAAGGAAGTTCAAGGTCGTGCCACATCTAGATACACTGAACTCATTGCAGAGGCTCAAGGGGTTTTGGTAAGTTGATGTAAATAATTTGTAGTAGTCTTTGTTATCCTCTACACAAATCTTGACGGTGCCTCTCTGATTCAATACATCCACTTTTGCGGGTCGGTTTTGTTCATAGAACCTGTCGATGAAGGAATTGCAACCACGTGTTAAGCGTGTCATCGCCCACACGTATGATACTTTCCGACCTGCAAACACCAAGGTTCCGGAATGAAGCTTCAATGATTTGTTGACATTTGGACCCTCTGCTTTAACGTTTTGTGTTTGAAGCTTTAAGCACTTGGTTGGCCCTTGGGCCCCCCACTACTTTTTGAGATTCAAACATTTGATTGCCCTCTGGACTATCCCAGTTGCTTGGCAGATTGTTTTTTTTGTGCGAGCCATCATGTGAAAAGCAAAAAGAAGACTGCTGGGGGCATCTTGAGTTGTACCAAGAGGCCTCAGCAATTCCATGGTTTCGTCCACGAGTTTCAAGACACCCATACTGGATCATACTACTGTTCACAGGGTCATGTTCTGTATGGCTGGGGGAGGGTAGTTATCGGCAATGGACAAGTTAGAAGCATGCAACTACCTCATCAGACTGATCAGAAAAAATCCTGAGGTCTCCAAAAAGAACCCGCGGACACAGAAAAAGAACCAATGAAGCTCCAGTCCAAGAAGAATCGGGCTATAAAAATGTTGCAGCTGCAAAAAGGAAGAACATGAAACGAAAAGGGAAAGACGATAGCGAACGAAAAAAACGACGAGGCACCAGGAAGATCAGCGCAAAAGTCATGTTCGTCACCTGCAACTCGATGGGTCGCACTCCTCGGACGTGCGCGTTTGATGCGAAGAAAAGGGGAAAGGAGAAGGAAGGAAAAGATCACTTGGGGTTCTATATACAATGCATGTATGATATATATAGTACTATAGTATTGTATATGCATGTACGTATTATAAATTGTATGTACTATAGTATTGTATATGTATTGCATTCGAGCGGTACTCTTTTTGCGTCCAGACACCTGAAGGTTTTATGGAATGGCGGTTTCGCCAATCCTCCTTGTAAGCTCATTT